TTTTATATGTAATTCCAATTCCGTTCCAAAAATAATCGAAAAAATCGGAAATCGGAATATCGGAAATTGGAATGAAAAAATGGGTTCCAAATTCGGATATTTTCGGATCGGAATTGGCGGAATTCGGAAATTCCGTTCCAATTTCCACCCCTAGCTAAAAGGGCCAAAACCAAATAAATTTGATATAATTACCAGAAAAGGTCCACGAGCCCATTAAAGCCCAAAAGAGGAAATAATTAAGAAATTTTACCAAGATTTATCTTAGAATATCGATTTATCGATTATTTCTGGATTTTCGGTTGTATAATAGGTCGGTTGATTCGTATTAAAGGAAATTTAATTATTTCATATTATTATAATTTTTTATTTAGGTGACTAAAAAATTAAATTTTTCCGAATTTCGTCGATTCTGATTCGAATTTTTCAATTCTTGGACAATTTTTTTGTAATCTACTTTTTTTTTTTTTAACAATTTCTAAACCGGAAATTTTCCAAAAGTGTTTATTTCTTATCTAATCTGTTCCGATTTTCACCATAATTTTGACGTTACAACTTAGTAATAGAATATTAAAAAATATATATATATATATATATATATAGGAGAAATACTTGGGTGGGGCCCGGCCTACGCGTTCACGGTGCACCTTCATACGGCCCTTCCCCAACTATAACAAGGGTTCGTTCAAATCAGCTTATAATCTCTCCTTGTTTTTGCCCTAATAATCTTTCGCGATTTGTCTCTGCAGAACTTCAGGTTTGTCTACTCTTCAATTTTCGAAACTTCCCATTGATTTCTGTTATCGATTTCAATTATTTTGCTAATTTCTTGATCTGCATGAATGAGATCAATTGTTTTTTTTTTTTTTTTTTCAAATCGATTGTCGAATTGCATCTCAGTCTCATCTCAATTAAAAATAAAATTGGATTTTGTATCTAATCTAATCGTTAATCTTTGGATTTCCGTTTCTTTTCATATATCATGTTAGATGCATTTAGAATTTCTGATTTGAACTGGAGAAGAGGATAATTGAAGAGGATTAGGTCAAAATAAACTAAATCTGGGATACAATTTGTCTAAATTGAAAGTTAAGTTTGTTAACTGTAAGCAGATTAATTTTTCTGTGGAACTTCAGATCTTCTGTTTAGTAGTGTTTCATTGGATAGCATAATTGGTTTTTTTAATTATATCGATATTTGTTTGCAGAGTCGAATATTAAGATATTTATTGCAAATATTATATAAGAGCAAATGGCTGACCAGAAGAAGCAATTCACGAAGGTCAATGAGCTCCGTCCTTTGGATAATGGGCTTAATTTAATTGTGAAAGTTGTGAATGCAAAGACGGTTGTGCAGAGAGGCAGACCTCAAGGCCGATTGGCCGAATGCTTAGTGGGAGATCAGACTGGAATGATCGTTTTTGCTGCGAGAAACGATCAAGGTTTATCATCTTTATCTTTGATTTTATCGATTTATTACAAGTTTATGTCCTGTTCTAGTGTGTGTGTGTGTGTGTGTGTGTGTGTGTGTGTGTGTGTGTGTGTGTTTGCGTGTGTAGTTGCGAATTTGATAGATTTTTATTTGGGTTTTTCTTTCTTTCCTTTCTATGTTATGATAACTGCAATTTGGGATATCGGCAAAGTTATGCACGCTTGTTTAGTGTTATGTTGTAAGAGAAATGATGTTGATTTGGAAATGTTTCGAGCAGTAGTTACATTATGAGATATTCTCATACGAAGGCGTAAACGAGTTCTTACATGTGTCAATGTATTAGAATCTTTCATCTTCAAAGCTTGTTTCTCGACTGTAAACATGCCTACTCCGATCTTTTGATTTGAAAGCCGTACTTTTTGACATTGTTTTATTTCTGATGGTGTACTTTTTGGCAATGCATTAGAATCTTGTGATTCGAAATTATAATCTGTAATTTATTTTTTGTGTATTTTCTATGTTTAGTGTAAGGGGATTTCATAAGCTCACGACACACATAGTGGAAGGTTTTATCGATCATGTGATTTTCTTTTTCTTCAATTTTGGGTTTTTTCACATAAAACTTCTTGCATCAAATCTTTACTCGTGTACTTTATTGTTGAAATTCTTGGTTTGATTGGTCTCTATGGCAAGACATGCTTCCCCGTTTTTAGCTACATAAGAACGATGTTACATGATACGATCCTTATTAGCAAGCATTGAATTTATGTTTATCTTTAGGTTTCTATCAATGAGCAACATTGAATTTCTTGTCGTATAATACTCAAACACTGATAAAATTGGTTTTTTTTTTTTTCTGTTAGTGGACCTGGTGAAAGACGGGAATACCCTTGTCCTAACGAACGCAAAAATTGACATGTTCAAGGGAGCAATGAGGCTAGCTGTGGACCGATCCGGACGCATTGAAGTTGACAGCACAGCCAATTTGTATGTGGACGAGACCAACAATTTGTCTCTGATTGAGTTTGAGCGTGTTGATGTTGTTGTTTGAGCAGTTTTTTGGAGGTCTAGTTGTTTCTAGAAGGTTCTTATTCGAGACAATTGTTGAGACTTTTGCTGAAACTTTGTATGCATCAAATTTATTCTATGGAGTTTTATTATCTTATTTCATTTCTGCCACCAGCAGATTTATTTACATCCGGTGATTTTTAACCATTGATTTTGTTAAATAACCACCCACTAACTAAGCACACATACATATGGGTGTATGTGTTATTGTGTGCAGACCCACGGCTAAAAATCATCATGTGTAAAATTACCCGATGTAGCATCTAATAACCTGGAAAAGAGTGTTGTTTTTAACTCTGGTGCAATTTGCTTCCTTACATGCAATTTGTTATATACATTAACTCTTGTTGAAGTACATGCTTTCTATGAAAGGAGTGCTTTACTTTGGGGCAAAATATAATTGACCATGGTTTGTTAGATGGTAAATATTGTGAGTTTAAAAGGGTTAGATTCCAGTATACATATATTATATATAGTTACTTACTTTGCAAACCCTTATATATGTGTGTGTGCGCGTGTTGCTGTGTATAGATTTATGGTGTAAAAAAATTGATATATTTCACAAAATGTTTTCACACCAAAATGATTTTTCAAGTGAAATCGTCGCCTACAATAATTATGACGAAATGCCGATGAATATCTAATTAAATACAAAACCATAACTAAAAAACATTTCGGTCAAAAACGACGACAAAATTAAGTAGTATTTAGCGATGTAAAAGCACAACAACTTGGCATTTGGGCGATGAATAGTTGAGATGATATTTAGCAATGTGTTAAACTCGACAAATTAACCGTATAGTATTACATAAAGCGAAATGTAGCCAACGATTTAGTTTCCTCTTTCGTTGCAAAATACAACTTCCCCTTGTACAAAATTTCTTTTGATGTAATACAATTTTGATATTGTTCTGTCAAAAAAATAAAAATAAAATAAAAATAAAAATTGATAAAATAAATGCAAAATTGAATATTAATTGCATATCAAAAAAAATATATATATTGAATATTAACTGGAATTAAGTATTACGTACAGAAGACCAAGATCAGCCTTACAAATAAAATATCCAATGGACAAAGTACTCAATTCAAATTTATTACACTCAGAAAAACACACAAGATCAAGAAAATAAAAATACCAGCCAATCAGAAAAAAACAATCATAAATATGAGTACATTAAAATTAAATAAAAAAAAAAAATCACGAAATATTTTGCAATAATCAATCTCAAATCATCTTAGCCATCTGCCCGAAGAAAGAAACCACAAGGGCCGTGAGCCCGACCACCGCAGACGGGGAGGAACAGAGGAATCCGGCGGAGGCCTTTGGAGGAGTGGCCGGCGGCATGGAGTGTGGACCCTTCGGCGATGGTGCAGGAGCGGGGTGGTCGTGGCCCTCGTGCGCCACCACTACGGCGGCAAGGAAAACAATGCAAGCCAAAAATGTGATGAACCGAAAACTAGCCATTACTCCAAAATGTTAATATGCAACTAATTACAAGTAATTAATTAATTAATTAATCACTCTTTCTTAAGTTGTATGTTATTGCATTGGACAAAAGCATTTGATGGAGGTCTATTTATATGCGATTTTCGCTAATTTTTTTTAATTCTAGTAATTAGTAATTTTTGACGTGGCTATAGCCTATAGTTGTACTATACGATATGAAAGTTTGTACTATCAAATATTCTAGAGTTGACTTTGAATTATTTTTAATTTATAAATAAATGCAAACTTGGGTAGCTAGCCAAAAGACGTGTTGATCAGTATAAGATAATAATGTAATGCCAAGTCACTATATCGCCGTTTTATTTATTTATTTATTTAATTTAAGTATTTTTTAGTCTTTTGTCCGAAATTCGTAAAATAATAATTCGCGTAAAATTATTGAAATTTGGTTTTAGTCAACTCCTATGTCCCTATATACACAAATTGTATTTCTCATAAGATTGAGGTGGAATTAGGATTTGATGTAATTAATACTATTTTATTAATTATTATATAAAATGATGATTTTTCTTAATTACATGTAATTACCGACTTATTTAATTTATTTAATGAATTACTTTCTAAAATACTTATTATTTAACTAATATGCTAATTGTTGTTGATAAAATATAAAGCAACAATATAACGATTAATGAAACACACTTTAATTGATGAAATATTGAAACGTGATTATTTATGCGGTAATTTATGAGATTATTGTTAGTATATATATATATATATAACATAGTTTTTTAGATTATATTATAACATATTTTTTATATTATATTAAATTTATAACATAGTTTTTAGATTATATAATAAAAACAATTATTATTTTAAAATTAGATCTATAATTAATATTTAGGGAATAAAATAGGGAAAATTCCACTTTCCCCCCTTATATTTGGTCCAGTATCACTTTGTCTCCTTCTACTCTCGATTGCATCGATTTGCCCCCCTGCACTTGAAAAATTGTCTCAATGTGACCCTCGCTATTAGTTATCCGACATTTGACATTAACACCGTTTGATCTAAGCGCTGAAATTACAAAAATGTCACATCTTCCAGTTTAAATAATTATTAAAAAAAAATAATAATAATAAAATAATTCAAGACAACGAGAAAACATAGTCCACAACGCCAGCCACAATTTATTTTTATTAAAATTGGGAAGGGTGACTTTTTTGTAATTTTCAGAATTAAATCAAACGGTGCTAAGGTCAAAGGTCTGAAAACTAACGGTGATGGCCACATTGAGATAATTTTTCAAGAACAGTGGAGCAAATTGATGTAATCGAGAGTAAAATGAGGTAAATTGATATTGAACCAAAATTCAAGGCGGGAGTGTAATTTATCCAATAAAATATACTAAAATTATAGTAACATTAAATTTGTAGTTTTGTGACATCTAAGGTGAAATGCCATGAGTGGCGTGGGACCCCTTAGCTCTATATTAGCTCCGCCATTGACACTGTGTATAGAATTTGGATTCTCTTGTGTTGCAAGTCGGTTAACCCTAAACGATTATTTTTTATCATCAAACGATACCGTTTGTGATGAAAAAATATGGACGAGTCGATATATTTAAGGTCCATATGTTACTTTAAATATAATTGATAATGAAGGCTTTGGGATTGATTCTTTTGCACAAAATTGTAGTCAGAGAAACAAGTAATTATGAGAACATTTACTTGAAAAACGTGAAATCAAATACTAGGGTTATTTTATTTATGTACACAATTATGAGAACAACTTTATCAAGTTCAAATTATGGAATTTCTCAAATGAACGTAAAATAATTAAATACAAGGCCACAATCAGCTTTAGAAATTAAATATATATCCAAATAACATATAGTACAATATGTTAACTTTATTAGACAGCACCAATTACATTGGTGTACGAAATTAAAGCGTTAAGAAAATGCACAATACAATTTGAAATCACTCAAATCAAGAATTACAACACAAGCATACATACATACACAAACAAGCCTTAATAAATCCTTTTCACAATCTCACCCAAGAAAGGAACCACTAGGGCAATGAGCCCAACCACCGCAGACGGAGGATAAGAGACGGCGGCGGAGGCCCCTGGCGGAGGAGCCGTGTTATTGCGGCCACCGGCCGCTCCGGGCGCCGGCCCCGGAGCCATAGGGTGGTGGTGGTGGTGTCCCTCTTCAGGCGACGGCCCTGGAGCCATGTGGTGGTGGTGGTGAGGCGACGGCCCCGGAGCCATGTGGTGGTGGTGGTGAGGCGACGGCCCCGGAGCCATGTGGTGGCGGCGTGCCCACAGCCAGGGAGAAGGGGCGGGAGCCCCCATTTGCGCCGCCACTAAGGAAGTAAGCAAGAAAATGCAAGCCAGATATGGAACAATGAACCTGATCACAGCCATTTCTTTGTGCAAAATGCTACTAATTAAAATTTTAATTCAATTAGTAATCTTTTTAATTAATTTGATGATTAAATGATAACAATTGTGTTGGATATAGAAAGTAATGCTTCATGGTCATCTATTTATAATATATGCAATAATAATTATGTTGTGGTTAGATTAATTAATTAAATTATTGGAATGTTTCCGAAATGTTTGCGTGGTGCATGCTTTTTCAGTTGCTTCCTGCTTTTCATTTGTTCTGTTTCATGACTTTGCATTTGTTTTCTACCTACTTGACCAATTTTATAACTATGTCAATTCTTTTTTTCACTTTTTTATATTTATTTTTTACTTTCTTGTTGGAATTAGAGTATGATTATAATAATTTGTTGGTATTCAAAATTTATGTTTTGACGTTTGATTATAATTAAGCAACGAAGCCAGCATAGGGCTGGAGACCATGTCCCACGCAAAATTTCTCGAATCCCTATTATTTTATATATAAATATAAAAAATATTGTGTACAATAGCTTTAAATATGGCCCCTCCAAAAATATATTTTTACTGCATCTGTTCCCGAACTTAAAATTCTGACTATGCTAATGACGGTAAAACACTATTATTTTGGGGTTAAGTGATGAATATTTTCTTGAATTATCTAGATGACACTATTATACGTTATAACTTATAAGAAAGGATTAGTCGATGTCTCGATGATACTTCGGGGTAGGTATGTCAAAATTACTTATCTTGATATATTATTAATCAATGAATCTATTTGATGTAATTATCAAAAAAAAAAAAATCTACTTGATGTAGTTTGAATTGGAATATAGATTATTTGTTATATATAGTATATTAAATATCTGTATTTATTAATTTCAAAAGTTGATTTATTCTTATGCATGGTAGTCATCAGCTGACAATTGACATATATATAAGCCTTTGTTTTTGTTTAAATTTGTGGGATTATATAAATGTATAAATCAATTAAAGTCATAAGTCCACGACATTAAATTTCAATAATAATGACATACATTAAAAAAAAAAAAAAAAATAACGATTTTAATTTGGTCTTAAATTCTTTTAACGATCTCCCCCAAGAAAGGAACCACCAAGGCGATAAACCCAACAACCGCAGACGGAGAATAACCGAAGGCGGCAGAGGGAGGCGGCGCCGGAGCCACACCGGGGCTGTTGCCCGCTGCAGGTGGATGCGTAGGAGGTATGCTGTGGCTGTTGCGCACTGCAGGCGGCGGCGTAGGAGGCATGCTGTGGTGGGGCCCTTCTTCAGTCGCCGGCGCCGGCGCCGGAGCCGTGTACTGATGGCCCACCCATGGAGATGGCACCGGAGCCATGTGGTTGTGTCCCGCCCACAGCCAGGGCGACGGCGCCGGAGCATCTTGCGCCGCCAGGACGGAGGCAACGAAAAGCGTGAAAGTCAAATATGGAACGACGAACCTAAAAGCCATACTTTGCAAAACGCGACTTTAATTAATTTAACGACTCTTTATTAAGTTCTTGATTTTTATGGTGATCGAAATATTATCGTAGCCATCGTCTATTTATATATGCAATTTTTTTTTTTATTTATTTATTTTTTTATTTTTTGTAATTACAGTAACGCATGTGCTATATGTGCACTAACCCAGATATGAAGCTGCACAATAATATTTTTCTTTTTTATTTTAATTTAATTTCTGAAAGAAAGGAGTCATTATATTGAAAGTCAAAAGGGATGCTCTTAATGCAAAGAAATGGCCTTATTGGACATGACCTTATCTAGCTGTTAATTACTTAATTGTTTATTAATTAGATGGAATTTGATCATCTTAACAAAATTATGTGATGCTAATCAACCTTCACTGAGTAAAGATAATTAGCGGTTAAAGCAAGTGAGTATGTGTCAATTGATCCAGATTCAAAACTTTCTGCAGACGGTTATATTTATCCAGTGCATTTATACGGTTGGCAGCGAGTTCATTCGTAAAAAGAAAAAAAAACGAAGATTGGTTTCTTAACTAATTTTTTATTTAATATAATTTATATTTACTATTCCTTTTGTTTGGCTTAATCAAGGAAAATGACACTTTGTAAAGACCAAAATACCCTTTTCCCATTAAATTAGGTGCTGTAGGGGGTGAAAATAAAAAATAAAAAATAAAATAATAATATATAAAATAACCTATCATTAGTATTCTCATATGACAAGTTCAAAGTCAAATAATCACGTCTTAGTTGTTCTAAATTCTAATGTTATGATTGGTGCATGTTGTTTCATAGCTTGCATTTGTCCAGGAAGATATTGCAACTTTGTCGGTTATTTATTTATTTAATTTTCAAAGATATTTATTTATGTTCAAGTGGTATTAATATTATAAATTATTTGGTGAATGGATCTATTTGCTTCCTGTTTACAATGTCTAACCTACTTAGAATGTTTGTTTTTATTACAGAAAAAAATAATAAAATAAACACAAGTATAATTTCATTGTAAAGAATTTAAAACAGTATATATATATATATATATATATATATATATATATATATATATATATATTCCTTCGAATTCAAATCTTTCGATCGAAAATCGACCCTCTAATTTATTCGGCTTTTTACCCGTGGATAAAAAAATAAAAAACATAAACTACACAAAATCATGAACTGCACAAAATTTATTATGACCCTTAAAAGAGTTTAAATCAACAGATTGATTCTTGAATGTAGTTGTGTATATATACTCCAAGCTAACTATTTATCAATCTCTTCTTGAACATGTCCTTCTGCAATTGCAAAGTAAATATAAATGAATCAATTCGAAAATCTTTAATAATAAATTAATAAAATATTTAATTGAGACAAAGGAGAAAGCCCTAACCAGGAAGATCGACCCCCAAGTTCGCCTGAACATCAGCCTCGGAATTCAAGTCCTTCGTGAACATAACATCATAAGTTAATAATGTTCATAGCCTAGTAATATGTAAATGATATATATATATATATATATATATATATATATATATATATATATATATATATATATATATATATATATATAATTGGTAAAGGTAAACCAAGAAAAATCCACATAAAAAATAATGCAGAGGCAATAGATATGTTCGGTTATGGTTAGTAATAAGCTAATAAGCTTACCCTCAGAACATGGGTAATTTTGAAGTTGACGAATCTATCCTTCAAATTCTTAGCTTCTTCGTACCAGGTGGCAATATTCGGGTTTCTAACCTTCCATAGACCTTCTATCTGTCAATGGTGGTCATGTTTAGACAGCAATATTTCGATACGGTAATAAATAAGTCCATAAATACATTAGCAACATCAGTACTAAAAGATTCTGCTAAAAAGTGTAGTTCGAATGGGGATATATATATATACCTGCATGCAAACAAGTTTAGAGTCACCACGAACTTGAACACTCGTAAAACCTTTTCGAAGTGCATATTTGAGTCCAAGTATAAAGGCACGATATTCAGCAACATTACAAGTAGCTATACCTAGGCCTTCACGCATCCTACAAACCTAACATGTAAAAATTATTACAGATACATGTAATAATTTAAGAGATAACCCCTTTCTCAAAGAAGAAACATAACACTTACAAAACTTCCATCAACCGATCGCAATATAGCTCCTGCACCAGCTTGTCCAGGATTTCCTTTCGAAGCACCATCAAACTCGAGAGTACAGAATCTCTGCTAAGAGTTCAAAAAAAAAGGCTCATTTTTTTTCTCTTACCACATAGTATCTAGAAAACCATGTGCTGGGAAAATCAATTAAATTAAAGTGAACGAGAGTTGATAACAATGTATTACCTCGTAATCGGAACTTAAGGCGTCATGTGACCTCTTTTTTGACACGGGCTCGTTAGATGTTTCGCTTTTAACAGAAGGCAGCTGTGTGAAAATTTAGATGCTTATAAATCATTAAATAATTCAAACAAATTAAAAGAAGATGTTTTAACGGGATATTCTTTGTTGGCTGGCATAAAAAATCGACTAACATACCAGTACTTTAACTAGCACGAATTTTTCATATTGTAGTTACGTAACCCATTGAATCTATAATCAATATTAGCAAAAGAATAGTATAGAAGATGTTTATTCATAAGTAGTTAAGAAATAGTTCATGCAAAAATTGATTAACTAATTTTTGAATTGTCAAGAAAAATCACAAACATATGTATACTATAGCACACGATTTTTTTCTAAAAATTACTTGAATGTTAAAATCAATTTTTTAATATTTTTTAAAACACAAACTATACTATGGAAAATGTGTATTCATAAATAGTCAATAAATGGTTCATCTAAAAATTGTTTCACTAATTTTTTAATCGTCAAGCAAAATCACGAAAAATTGTGACTCAAGCACACAATTTTCCTTAAAATCACTCCCATGTTAAAATTCAATTTTAAATATTTTTTTAACAGAAAAACATCTATAGAAGATGTTTATTCACTACTAGTCACGAAATAGTTCATCCATAAATTGTTTCACTAATTTTTGAATCCTCAAGTAAAACCGCAAAAAATTGAACACCGAATCGAAACACGAAACTAGTCACGAAATAGTTCATCCATAAATTGTTTCACTAATTTTTGAATCCTCATGCAAAATCACAAAAAAAAATTAGTATACTAATATAGCACACGATTTTCGACAAAAATCACGATTTTTGAATCATGATTTGTATGTATGTATGTATGTATGTATGTATGTATGTATACCTGAACTGGACATGCCACAAGAGTGCCGAAAAGATCTTCCGTCAGATCAGAAGCTCTGATCGAGTACAGAGCATTTTTAAGCCCAGACGAGACAAGATACTTCTCCGTTTCTTTCGGCATGGAACTACCTTTGTACACACTTATAGGTGGATCGCATATCTGCCCAGAAAAAAACAGCAGGGCAAAGAGAGTCGTGTTATAATAAGATCGCCTTTACGAGACAAGAGCATAACAAACATTTCATTACAAGTGATTTTACCGATGTCCCAACTTGAGCCTGGCAATCTTTTAAGCTTTTGTAAACACCAATAAGATCGCCTTTACGAACAACGAAAAACGCTTCCTTGTCGTTCTTCATCTGCGATTTAGGACCAGCTTTCGGCTTACGTGGCGCCCCACTCCCGCCAGACTTCTTTGAACAATAGCAACGAACTCCCAATCTCGTTAACAACAATTCCAAATCCACTGTTCGAACACCTGGAAATTTGCAGCTCGTTTTACGCGAGGGGTAAAAATGTCCGATCGGCGGCCTTTTCGTAACAAGACAACCAGTCCTTGATAATATAGTTGAACAGCATGCATGAAACAAACTGATCATTCCAGTGCTTTCTCCCTCCTATTCCCCAGATTTTTTTTTCTGAAATCATATTTTTGAATTTTTTTTAATCATCAATAAATTCATAACAAATAAATAAAAAGAAATGAGGAAAAATAATGCCTTACAAATTAAAAAAAAATTGACCTAATTAATCCAGGTTTAGCTGTTTTAACCACAAAACCCCAACCATTATCGACTGATTGAATTTTCTCCCTAACATCAACACAATTTCACGAAGAAATTAACGAATATAATGTAATAGCAATGAAGAATCATAACGAACTCGCATTTTGAATAACTAGAAGATCAATCAACTTCGACAAAACAAAAACCCACAGCGAAAACCCTAATTCAATTCCAATTAAACCCTAAAACATAAATTG